GCTCTTTGGAAGATCTCATGCACAATATCTCCATCGCCGGGATCATGCCATACAGACACACAGAAGGATGGATCAACTATAGCCCGTAAGAAGCATGTGGAGGAGAAACACCAGGTGCATGTCAGAAAGTCAACTGAGAGCAAAAGAGACGATGAAGAACCATGGTTGGCAGAACCAGCTCTTGGAAACAAGGAAGCAACTGGACAGGGGGGACAATCACAACATCTTTCAGTCTCCGAAAGACAAGGACACAACAGATAAGAGGGACGTAGAGGCCACAAGAAGCCAGAAGGAACAGAAAGGCAGAACTCTCTCTCTTCAAAAGCTGGTTGGTGTCTTCAGAGAAGTAACAGTGGTCTCTCCTTCAAATCACCTGCTCCATGAGAAGGAAGCCTTCTACATCCAGATCTGGGCATGGATGAGAAAGCTATTCAGTTGCTCAAGCAACGTCTTTGCTGGAAAACTCCCTGGACTAGGCAGAGTGTCAAGCTCTAAGATAGCAAGGACGTAAGCCTACTAGATCAAGAATCCAGACCTTCAGCTCCAAGGAAACTGAGAGAAGTGAAGCTCTTAGCCTTTGAAGGACATGGCTCACAATGGTCCTGTTTTCCAAAGGTGAATACCTCCTCTGCTTTGCAGTGCTTTTAAACAGCCACCTCAGTCCATGGTGAGGATGGACAAGGAAGTCTACTAACAACTGCGTTCAGCTTCAGTTTCATCCAGGGCTGCCAATTAATCTCAACTTATTTGCCTTCTCCTCATTCTTCTACTTTAATTTTTGTCATTCACATTTCATTTTGTCCCTCTTTTTGGCATCCTTTCTTTAAGGATCTTATTCCACTATTTCTTCGATACGTAACTCTCGTCTCATGACCAGTTGTCGCGTGATGAGTTGGCCATGCCAGATTGTGGTAGACCCGCTATTGGAGCAGTTAGATATCTGCCTCGGTTTTGGCAAATAGAGATTGCAAGTGAGTAATCCCTAGTTTTTGAAGACCATTGTGCGTGTGTAGCATGTTCAGGTGTGTTTGTTCTCTTTTCGGTCTCGTGAAATGAGAATCCAATTGGGGCAACCATTCTTGTCTTTAATTGGAGAAGTCCAGACTTGGACATCCCTTTGGCCGCGATTTGGACACCCCTAGACCAGATGAGAAAAGAGTTCTGCTGAAGCCACGAGAGTAGCAGGAAGGAAGGAAGGAAGGAAGGAAGGAAGGAAGGAAGGAAGGAAGGAAGGAAGGAAGGAAGGAAGGAAGGAGGAAAAGGGAGGGAGGGAGAGATGGGAGAGAGGAAGGAAGGAGAGAAGGGAGGGAGGAAAGGAAGAAGGAAGGGAAGGAGGGAGGGAAGGAAGGAAGGAGAGATGGGAGGGAAGATGCTTAGATGGAACACAGATGCCACCCGATGGCCTGGCTGGGCAAAATCTAACCTTATAGGCAATACGAGCAGGGCATTTCTTCCCGAGGCCAAGTGGTGGCGACATGTGCCTCAGCATCTCGTACATGTCGGTGTAACTGATCCGCCCACTTGGAACAAGAAGGATGGGAGGTGGGGGGAGACAGACAAACAGAGAGACAGATAGATGGGGAAGGTAAGACAACACAAGGAGGAAGCACGAGCCACAAACAAAGGGAGGGGGGGAAATAAGGATCGGTGGGGGGGGAGCAAACAAGAAGACAGAGAATTCTGGTTAATTGGTGCCTTGGAAGTCTGGTTTTCCAGGGAAGGTAGCAAAACCAAGGAGGAGTTGCATGAGAAGGGCTTCTCCAGGTCCATCTCTTTTGGGTTTCTCCTGCCATCTGCTCTCGGATTGATTTTATTTTTTTATTTGTTGGGGGGAAAGAAACAGAAACAAGTCAGGAGGCAGAAAAGGAAGAGAGGAGGTGTGGATTCCTGGTGAAGGTGTGTTGGAGGGGGGGGGTATCGTAACAGGGCGCCTTTAAAAAAAGGCAGTGCCCGATTTCAAAGGCGGAGGGGTCGTTTTGGGGTAGAGGAAGTGGCTGCACTCACGGGAAGGAGGGGCGAAAGGAAGCGTTATGGGACAGTCAGCCATGGTGGAAGCCAAAGGTCTGGTGGAGCCCTTGGCACTCTCTGAGTTGGATTGCTTTCTTGCAGACCTCTCATTACCCAACTAGGTAACATCATCAGTGATCTTCCTTCCTTCCTTCCTTCCTTCCTTCCTTCCTTCCTTCCTTCCTTCCTTCCTTCCTTCCTTCCTTCTTTCTTTCCTTCCTCCCTCCCTCCCTCCTTCCTTCCTTCCCTCCCTCCCTCCCTCCCTCCCTCCCTCCCTCCCTCCCTCCCTTCCTTCCTTCCCGTATTCTGCTACAATATTCTCTAAAAGCTCTCCTTAGCTCTTAAAGCCTAGTTAAGAATTCCGGATGGCAACAGACCATTGGCTCGCCTTTTAAAACCGAAAAGCGAGATCTAAGAGCCTTGAACTAAATAAAGGTTTTTAGCCTTTCAAAAATAACGGAGATCCCCCCCCCCCCCGGAATTGGGCTGAATGAAAACGAGGGCCGTGAGAATAGAACAGAATAATAGAACTGGAAGGGACCTTGGAGGCCATCTAGCCCAACCCCCTGCTCACTCAAGGGTCCTTATTCCATTCCAGACAAATGGCTGTCCAGTCTCTTCTTAAAAACGTCCAGTATTGGAGCACCCACAGCTTCTGGAGGCAAGGAGTTCCACCGCTTAATTGTTCTCACTGTCGTGAAATTTCTCCTTAGTTCCAGGTTGCTTCTCTCCTTGATCGGTTTCCATCCGTTGCTTCTTGTCCTGCCTTCAGCTGCTTTGGAGAAGAGCTTGACTCTCCTCTTCTTTGGGGCAAATGTTGGCAGACTGCTATCATGTCACCCCTAGTCCTTCTTTTCGCTCTACCGGATCTACACAATTCCTACAACCGTTCTTCCTATGTCTCAGCCTCATCTGAGAAGCTAGGCTAACCTGAAACATCTCCCAATTCTGAGTTTGGAAACATTTTTAAGGCCGACAGTCCCAGAAGGCTGCCGCATCCAGGCAAGGAAGGACTACGCTGGGCAGAAGGAAAAATGCAGCAGGCAGAAAGGGGTAGAAACAAGCTTGCCCATCATGTCTATTGATGCAACCGGTTAGTTTCATTCCAAGGTTATTTCTATTTTGCAGTCTACAAAGGACCCCATTTGGTGGCAAATCAAGACAACTTCTCCTCCACCCCCCCAAAAAAGAAAGAAAGGGCTGGAATTTCCTTAACCCACCCCGAAATTCCAAACCTTGTATGCCACTCTATGAGGGCACTTCTTTCCTAAGCCCAAGGGTGGGGCAATAGCTCGGAATAAATTGTACATATCCTTATAATGTATCCGGCAACTGGAAAGAAAACAGACATTCATAAGTCGCGAGTCAATAGGAAGAAAAGAAAAAAAAAGCTGTGATTAATTTAAAAAAAAAAGTCTTTCCTGGAACCTCACATCTCCATCCCACAATAACATGACAAGTAGAAGAAGAATTGGAAGGGGGGGGGGAAGGGCATTTCATAATTCATGACTTCCCGTTAGAAAATTACTCTCTGCTTAAGTCCCGTAAAAGTAATTTGTTAGATGCTGTTAGGTAGGAGGAGATGAACCAATAGCGGTAGCAATAGCACTTGACGTATATAAAGTGCCGCTTTACAGCCCTTTCTAAGCGGTTTACAGAGTCAGCTTCTTGCCCCCCAACAATCTGGGTCCTCATTTTACCGACCTCAGAAGGATGGAAGGCTGAGTCAACCTTCAGCTGGTCAGGATCAAACTGCTGGCAGGGGGCAGAGTTAGCCTGCAATATTGCATTCTAACCATTGCGCCATCATAGCAGATAGATAGATAGATAGATAGATAGATAGATAGATAGATAGATAGATAGATAGATAGATAGATAGATAGATAGATAGATAGATAGATGGATAGATGGATAGATGGATGGATGGATGGATGGATGGATGGATGGATGGATATGATATGATAGATAGATAGATAGATAGATAGATAGATAGATAGATAGATAGATAGATAGATAGATAGATAGATAGATAGATAGATAGATAGATGTGGGCAGTGGGCAGAATTAGCCTGCAATACTGCATTGTAACCACTGTGCCACCACGGCAATAGAAATAGAAATAATACGTAGACTTATATACTGCTTCACAGTGCTTTACAGCCCTGTCTAAGTGGTTTACAGAGTCAGCCTTTTGCCCCCAACAATCTGGTTCCTCATTTTACCGACCTCGGAAGGATGGAAGGCTGAGTCAACCTTGAGCCGGTCAGGATCAAACTCCTGGCGGTGAGCAGAGTCAGCCTGCAATACTGCATTGTATGAATACCGATCAAGCTTCCCAATCTCCATCACCCAAAATATTGCTGGGTCTTGACCATTGCAGTGAGGAACCCCAACATAACTGTCTTTGAGGGTAACCAGTCAACCCCTTGGATGGTCTTCTCCCAATGCGAGAAGCAGCTCCACCAATCCAACGCCACCTTCAGAAGACCAAAAGCGGGTGAGCAAGGAAGATAGGACTGGGATAGAGATACATACCAAGCAGCTGGGTCATATTCTGCCCAAACTCGAATGAATTCATCCAGATGATGAGGTCCTAGGATGGAAGAATCTCGTGTCAAGTACTCAAAGTTGTCCATGATTACAGCCACAAATAGGTTCAACATCTGCAAAGGGAGGGAGGAAATGAGATCAGGGCAAGGAGGAGGAAAGTTGCCGACTTTTTTGTGGTGGTTGATAAGCGAGTTGCCAACTTTTTTAGATCAACGGAGGAGGGCACAGACCGGAATAACGAGGGTGACTTTTTCAGGCTCAAAGGAAAGCTACACCTGAAAGAGACAGAGCTCGTAGCATCGCAGCGTTCGACGGAGAGAGAGAAAAACGTCTCACCAGAAAGGAGCAGAGGAAGATGAAGGAGACAAAGTAGAAGTAAGCGAAGTCACTGCCACATTCGTTTCTGCTGAGGTTTGAGTGCTCGTCACAGGGCTGGTTGCTGAGGCACGCAAGCATGATTTCATGCCAGGCTTCTCCAGTAGCACTCCTGAAACCAAAAAAAAAAAAAAAACCCAAGAAAAAGGCCCATGAATGTAAGTGGGTAACTATGGGGTCTTAAATCAATGGTTCTTCAGATTGCTTAAAATGACGGCGTGGTTGATAAAGATGAGCAAAGAAGGAGTATTTCTCCCAGATGGGATCCAGGAAGAACTCACCGAAAAAGCAACATTAGTGCCTGCAGAAAAGTTTGGAAGTTATTGTGACGATTAATGGCGCTGTCATCATCCAGAGCAATGTTTCCAAAGACCTGAGGGAAAGTGAGAGAAGGAGAAGAGAGAGAGAGAGAGAGAGAAGGAAGAAACAACTAAGAGAACATGAGCTTGCCTCCAGAAATCGTGGGCACTCCATCACTGGAGATTTTTAAGAAGAGGCTAGACAGTCACTTGTCTGAGATGGTATAGGTTCTCCTGCTTGAGTTTTCTGGACTGCTTGAGTAGGGGGCTGGACTGGAAGACCTCCAAGGTCCCTTCCAGCTCTATTCTATTCTATTCTATTCTATTCTATTCTATTCTATTCTATTCTATTCTATTCTATTCTATTCTATTCTATTCTATTCTACATTGCTTCTATTCTATTCCATATTCTATTCTATTCTATTCTATTCTATTCTATTCTATTCTAGTCTAGTTTAGTCTAGTCTAATCTAGTCTAGTCTAGTTTATAGTCTAGTCTAGTCTCTATGCTTATTCTATTCTATTCTATTCTCTATCATTCTATTCTATTCTATTCTATTCTATTCTATTCTATTCTATTCTATTCTATTCTATTCTATTCTTCTATTCTATTCCATATTCTATTCTATTCTATTCTATTCTATTCTATTCTATTCTATTCTATTCTATTCTATTCTATTCTATTCTATTCAACTCTATTCTAGTCTAGTCTATAGTCTAGTCTAGTCTAGTCTCTATGCTTATTCTATTCTATTCTATTCTATTCTATTCTATTCTATTCTATTCTACTCTACTCTACTCTACTCTATTCTCTAACCTTATCCTTATCCCATCCCATCCCATCCAATTCTATTCCATATTCTATTCTACACTGCAAACAGTTCTACCCATTGGTGGGAGGCCCAGCGTGACGAACAGGTGCCATTGGAGATGGTGGCTTTCATCACCCTCAACTACCTTCCCCTTCTCTGTGACAACACACTCTAAACCCTGCTTAGTCGATCTGGTTCCCGCCGCCCATTTTACCTGCATGCCAATTATGGCATAGATGAAAAACAGCATGGCAATGAGGAGGCACACATAGGGCCAGGCCTGGAGAAAAGAGAAGAAGTCGGGAGCTTGCACTCACCCAGCAGAGAGCACAGCACATCACAACATCTGCACAACCGCACATGTCAGAGAGCAGGTAGTCCTCGGGTTAAGACCACGAGGGAGTCCCAAATTTCTGTTGCTATGTGAGGCGTTTTTTAATTGAACATTGCATCCGTTTTACAGCCTTTAAGTAAATTCCTGCAATTGTTAATAACACAGTTGTGGCTTCCCCATTGACTACACTTGTCAGAAGGTCAAAAAAGGGGATAGCGTGACACCAGGACCCTGCACCCATCATAAATGTGAGTCCGTTGCTCCAAGCGTCCAAATGTTGATCACGTGACCCCGGAACACTGCAACCGTCACAAACGTGAATCAAACGCTGAGTGTCCGAATTTTGATCACGTGACCCCAGGGATGCTAAAATGGTCATAAGGGTGAAAAATGGTCCTTTTTTCAGTGCCTTCACAAGTTGCTTTACTCAATGACGTGGTCACTTCAGATGGTCACTAAACAAGCTGTTGTAAGCTTATGTGTTTGCGATTTTTTTCATTGCAGCTTTAAAAAAAAAAAAACAGGTCTTGTTTGTTTTGTTTCGATCCCGTTAAGTGATATATATGTATTTTTTTAAAAAATAAAAACCTAGAAGCAAATCAAAATAGAACTCGTGAGTAGTTCTTACACCCTCAAAAAACCCTCACCTTAAAAGACTGGACAAAAGTCCAGAGCAGAATCCGAATGGTGTAGCCCTGACGGAGAAGTTTGATAAGCCGCGCAGCCCGGAAGAGGCGGAGGAAGCTCAGGTTGATGAAATTATCCTGCAAAGAAAAAAGAAAAAAAAATTCCCATCGTTCAGAGCCGGGTGGGATTTGAAACCGCAGCCCACAAAAAACAGGAAAGGAAAAATTTACCGGCTTTGGGTTCTAAGCAGCAAGTCGGCCGGCAGAGGAAAAACAACCTTGCAAAAGAAAAATCCCGCGAGGAATTTATTTTCTTATCATAACAACATGCAAATAAGTTTCCCGTTCCGATCAGCCGCACGAAGGTGACGAATAAAGGAAGGGAGGGGGTTTTTTTTGGCAACGGTTAAGGGTTTATTATTATTATTATTATTCCATTATCAAGCAGCCAATACAAACACAATGAGGTGAGGAAACTAAGTCACAATGCACAAGGGAAAGGAGAGTCCCAAACACTCAAATTAAAAAGGAAGGAAACCAAACAAAACAGGAACAAACATTTCCTTAAAGCAGACGATTGATATATATATTTTTAACCCTTCCCCCCCCCAAAAAAAACAAATTCAGTGAAACCAACCGTGTCCTATATGAGATGTTTTCATGGATGAATAGTGATTTTTGAGTTTAGCGTTATGATTATTTTTAAATAGATATTTATTTGTGAGCAGGAGGCAGGCAACAGACAGATGTAGACATGTTTTTTGCATGTTGATTGAATGACATGATTCAGCAGGAAAGAGAGAAAACACACACAGACAGAAAACAGAAACAGAAAAAAAAAGAGAAAATGAGTCATCAGCACTGGAAAAGAACAGAAACACTAATGATCATATTAGAAAGGGAGGAGGGGAGAAATTAGGGATTTATAAAAAGAAGTGATTATAAAAAGAAGGACCAAATCTGGAAAGAAACACAGTGGAGTGAAATCATTTGCATTTTACATTGCAATGCAAATTCGTGGACACTCTGCAAGCACCTTTGAATTGTGTCTTTTTTTGTTTTGTTTTTTTAAAATTCCCAGGCAAAGCTAAAAATGCCAGTTTCGCGGTTTGCGTTCAAAAAGGGAACGTGAATTTAGCAAACCCCTGCAGCCACGTATGGGTCTTGAAAGAGGAATCTGGTAATTATTTGACGGGACCGTCAGTTCAGAAATGCTGGTCCACCCAAGGATAGACAGAATAACAGAGTTAAAAGAGTTGGAGGGGGACCCTGGAGATAATAGAGATAGTAGAGAGACTTACATTATATACCACTTGATAGTGCTTTACAACCCTCTCTAAATGATTTGCAGACTCGGCATATTGCCACCAATAATCTGGATTCTCATTTTATCAGCCTCGAAAGGATGGAAGGCTGAGTCAACCTTGAGCCGATGAGAATTGAACTCCAGGCTGCGGGCAGAGTTTAGCCTGCAATACTGCGTTCTAACCACTGCGCCATGAAACATCCGATCAGTTACAGCAATAGCAATAGCACTTAGACTTATATACCGCTTCATAGTGCTTTTACCACGCTCTCTAAGCAGTTTACAGAGTCAGCCTGTTGCCCCCAACAATCAGAGTCCTTGTTTTACCAACCTCAGAAAGATGGAAGGCTGAGTCAACTTTGAGCCAGTCAGGATCAAATTCCTGGCAGTGGGCAGAGTTAGCTTGCAATGCTGCATTCGAACCACTGTCTCATCCAAAAACTAAAACGCCTATAAACTCATAGATGTCCCTCATTTCAGGTGCATTTTTTTTTTAAAATCCCCGATACAAAGGTTTTCCCATCCATTCAAATCTTACTCCTCCTGGCTGTCTGATCTGATGATCAAGCTTATAATCTTAACAGCTGAAGAGGAAAAACATAGCAAGAGCTATGTTCGTGAGGTGGGAAGAAAAACTGACATGATTGCATTTGCCTGTAGAAGTTAAAAAAAAAAACAACAACAACAACCCAACAACAACAGAGAGCAAGAAAGAGAAGAATTCGTAGCATTGGCCAAAGAAACCGGTACACCGCACATCTACAGAATCAAAGGAAAACTAAATTCATTGATGTGTTTTCCTTATTCTTTTCTCCGTTGGTCCTAAATGTTAGTGGCTAAACATCTCGTAAGTATAAATGGTAAAGATCTAGAACCAGGTGAGGAAGGGGGGGCAAATATGGAGGGAGGCCCCACTTCTGGATTTCAGGGTGGGGAGGAAAATGCCCCATCTTCTGGAAGTTTCCTTCAAGTAGCTCCAATAGGAGAAGAGCAGGCAGTGCTGAAAGGGCGGAGTTAAGCACGCCATTAGCTTTGAGTCGCTGTGTTCCCAGAACGCTTCAACTCCTCCTGAATTCTTTTGACCCTTATCTAATGCCCATTTAGTGTTGGCCAGGTACTTGTGTAGAGGCTTGAATCAATCTTCTATTCGGCAACCTAACGGGTGGTCCTAATTCTTTGTGCCTGACAGCTCCTTTTGGTAGTGCAGAGACCCACATGACGGCTATCAAAATATCTGACACCAGGGTAAAGGGATTAAAGCATGATAGCTATGGGTTAGCAGCTGAGATGGGGAAAATGAATTGATCTTATGCCCAAGTCATCCTGCCTTCCATTGTTCTAAGATGCTTTAGAATTTCTTTTTGTGGCACGTTATACCTTACTTTACCATTTAGAAGGGTACTAGTCTTTCTTTTTCCATCTTCTGTGGTCCTTCCATGTTCCCTATCAGCCTCCTTGGCTGGACCTGTTCTTTATGCTTTGTAGGAAGCCAGAGAATTGCAACCCTTGGGAGACTTGATTCTAGAGGTGGGGAGATCCCTTAAATATATACTTTGGTCATAGCTCTGCTTTTCTATCCCATGAGGACTCCCACAAAACAATCGCCCCCCCCCATCGAACATATTTCAGAAAAAGGGTTCTATTTCCATCAAATCAAAATGCAGGGGCGGGGAAATAGATGGTAATAATCAGCCATAATTCTGATGCAGGTGCTTCCATCACAGGCCAATAATGTTTCACCACAGAAGAGCCCGGATTGAATTCTGCTGCTGCTGAATCATACTGAAATAAAACAGAATAGTTTTCTACTCTGGATGTCTAGGGAATTTCTCAGTGCTCCAGGTCATGGTTGTCCCAGAGGTGCTTTTTTTTCAAAAGGCAACTGGACCTTCTTGTTTTCCTCTGAAGACGTTTCGCTTCTTATCCGAGAAGCTTCTTCAGTTCAGAACTTCAGAAAACACCTTTGGGACGGCTCTGGATGATGGTTCTGTTTGGGGAGGTCTGAAAAAGCTTCCACTGAATTACGTAGACATCTCCTTACTGATGTTGTGATTCCTTCCCTGGATAGAGACCGCATAGCTCAGTCCAGAAAGCAAAAAAAGTAGAGATTCTGGTTGGGAGATCAGCTTAGGATTCATCATCAACCCTACCACGTGACTGAATCAAGTCGTGACCTCACTGAGGAATTCACACAGCACATTAGCCTTGGTAGGCAGATCATGCAACTCCATCTGCTTTGCTTACGTTACAGGTCAGCCCTGCACCAACTCAGAACATGAGCTAATTCAATAACCTTGGTAAGCATCTTGCAGACCAGGCTGTCATTACAGGAAGGGAGGAGAGAAGAAACAGCTATTACCAACATCTGTGTCAAAGGCTACTCACAGGGTCAGGAAGAAAGCTAAATTAGATTTAAATTCATTCAAACCGTATCCAAAGCATTACACGTGATTAATGGGGTTGTTCAGTGGCACTTGATTCTTTCTCTCATGTCAAATGTTGTAATCTGTGGAAGGGGTGGCAAGAATTGTGGCTTTCAAGAGCCACGGGTCCCACTCTGGGGAAAGAATTTGCAAAGAGAGGTGACCACTACAGCAGAATGATCTATTGCCAATGGATACCAGCATAAACAAATTGAGTAATTGGATGCATCATTAATTCTTTGGCGTTGTACACAGTATCCCTTTGAACAATCCCTTTCAGTGGCAAAAAAAAAAAAAAATGACTTAGCGTCCTTTGCAACCAATGCCTTAAATTTCCAAAAGACGTTCAGCCTTGAGTTTTGAAGACAAGAATCATAGGGCATAATTCAGGTTGGTCCAACTGTCACCTCTCAGACGTGGGTCTTGATATAGGCTGGGAAGCATTTTCTCAGAAATCTCTAAAGTGGCTCTAGAAAAGCTGGAGGTAAGTCATGGAATCGAGCGCAGGCCGGGGAACATGGTCTCCTTAACTTTCTCCCAACAAGAAGAAAGGCTGCACGTCCCAACGTGGAATCAGTATGGAAAAAGGAACCGGAAAGTTCAAACCGAGTCATTAAACACTGATCTCCCTGTTCCTGGGAGTATGGGATTTCTGAAATTTCAGCTGCTGCTGAACCAGGATGGGAGACCCAAGCATTCTGGCCAATATTCAGTGTTCATGCTGTCCTCCAGATGTCATTTAGCAACATCTGGAGGACATACCTCACATAATAGATGCTAACCATAATTAATAGTGTCAAACATGATAGACCCCAAAGCAGGAACTCTGCAAAGTCCCTTTGAGGTCATAAACATGGTACAAGAGCGGAGAATTAGAAGGCCCCATAATATTTATTCTATTCTGAAGCAGTTCAAGTTGTATCTTCATTACTTACCCATCTAATAGTAGCCTTAGTGCCCCAAAATTTACAGTTTGCCCAAGAGGTCTATCTAGATTCTCCCCCCACCCCTTTAAAAAAAAAATGTATGGTTTGCTAAAGAAAAACAAGTCTCCAGTTGGTACTCACCGCAATCTCTGTGACTAAAATATCAGTTATACTTCCCAAGACTGTGACAAAATCAAAAATGTTCCAGGCATCACGAAAATAATTCTGTAAGAGAAAAGGGAGGACCCTTCAGATCCCTTTCAAAGCTCTTGACCAAAAGGAAACAACAATTCAATGACACAGAATTCAGAAATAGACCCGCTTGGAAGCACGGTGGGACGCCGAGTCTATCCAACATCCAAGGAGGAATAGAATAGAATAGAATAGAACAGAACAGAACAGAACAGAATAGAATAGAATATAGAACAGAATAGAATAAGAAATAGAGTGGAATGGAATAGAATAGAATAGAACAGAACAGAAGAGAACAGAATAGAATAGAATAGAATATAGAACAGAATAGAATAAGAAATAGAGTGGAATAGAATAGAATAGAATAGAATAGAATAGAATAGAATAGAATAGAATAGAATAGAATAGAATAGAATAGAATAGAATAGAATATAGAACAGAATAGAATAAGAAATAGAGTGGAATGGAATGGAATGGAATGGAATGGAATAGAATAGAATAGAATAGAATAGAATAGAATAGAATAGAATAGAATAGAATAGAATAGAATAGAATAGAATAGGAATAGAACAGAACAGAACAGAACAGAACAGAATAGAATAGAATAGAATAGAATAGAATAGAATAGAATAGAATAGAATAGAATACTTTATTTGGAAATGAATACGAGAACATCAGGTAAACTTGGAAAGTGAGAACTTGACTTTGGATGGGAAAGGACAGTGATGAAATAAAGTTCGTACCAATGCACCAAAGGCGATGATCTTCAAGACACATTCCAGTGAAAACATGGAGGTGAAGACAATATTGAGGCATTTCAGCATATCTTCGTAGGGTTCAGGGGCACCATAGAACTAAATTAAAGTTTGGGGGGGGAGGAGAAAAGTCAAGTTGCAGCCACCAGAGAAATAGGTTAAGATTACACAAATGGGAGACCTCACGATCACCCCAGAGGTTGCTAACCTTCATCATAAGCACAATGGTGTTCAACGCAATCAGGACCATGATAAAGTACTCGAAAGGAAGAGAGACCACAAATTTCCACATTCTGTACTGGAATGATTGTTTGTTTTGGGGCATATAGCGGGTCAAAGGTTTGGCACTGATGGCAAAGTCTATGCAGGCTCTCTGCAAGAGAAGAAGAAAAAAAAAACCAGCAAGATCAAAAGAGAAAATCACAGGAACATAATCTTTCTCCTGCTTCCTCCTAAATGGTCTTCTTCTTCTTCCAAATCATCAGCTGTTTGGACTTGCGATTACAGCAAATAGTTAGTTATCATGCTCTGATTGGCCTTTAGATGTTTAGATTGGTCTTTAGACAAGAAACAATGGATGGAAACGAACCAAGGAGAGAAGCAACCGAGAACTAAGGAGAAATTTCCTGACAGTTAGAACAATTAACCAGTAGAACAACCTGCCTCCAGAAGCGGTGAATGCTCCAACACTGGAAGTTTTTAAGAAGAGGCTGGACAGCCATTTGTCTGAAATGGTATAGAGTTTCCTGCCTGAGCAGGTTGTTGGACTAGATGACCTCCAAGGCCCCTTCCAACTCTTGTTATTCTGTAATGTTAGCATATCTGTACAGTTGGACCAATAGCATGGTGAAGCAAAAATCCTTGAAACTGGGCACCATTTGCCCCAGAAATGGTCTGAAACTGTTTACTCCTCAATGTTCAACTTGACCACAAAATCCTAGAGAAATGTAAACCATGCACCACCTCTCCAATCAGAGCAAGTACCTCATTTTTCTCCAGGCTGCATTCAGACATCACTTTGTCGCCCTGTTCTTGGAAGGTGATGATGATCAAAGCTACAAAGATATTCACAAAGAAAAAGGGGAAGACGACAAAATAGACGACGTAAAAGATAGACATCTCCATCCGGTAGCCAGGACTTGGGCCTTGGTTTTCATACGTTGCATCAACAGAGTGCTTCAAAACACTGAGAAAGAAAGAAAGAAAGAAAGAAAGAAAGAAAGAAAGAAAGAAAGAAAGAAAGAAAGAAAGAAAGAAAGAAAGAAAGAAAGAAAGAAAGAAAGAAGATAGGTAAGTAGGTAGATAGATAGGATAGAAAGAAAAAAGAAAGGAAGGAAGGAAGGAAGGAAGGAAGGAAAGAAAGAAAGAAAGAAGATAGGTAAGTAGGTAGATAGATAGGAAAGAAAGAAAAAAGAAAGGAAGGAAGGAAGGAAGGAAGGAAGGAAGGAAGGAAGGAAGGAAGGAAGGAAGGAAGGAGATTAAGGTAAGAATTCAAATTCACAAAAATACAGGACTGCAATTAGGAATAAAGACAAGAACAGCCAAGGATGCAGACTTACGTTGGCCATCCTTCCCCAGTGGAGACGGTGAACAAGGTCAACAGAGCCCAGAGGACATTGTCATAATGGAAATCGTATTTCTTCCACTGTCTGGGCTGAGCCTCCACTTCATCTTTCTCATAAGCCAGATACTGGCCTCTGGAAGAGTCAAAACATGGTGTCCAAACAAGCCACAGATCCAAGTTTGTCAAAACTGAGACTTGCTTCTCTCAACAGTGTTTTCATGAGCAATATCCTGATTAAAACTATTGGTGCAGCTCACACCGCCGTAGAGATCTACCACACCTCTTTGATCTGAATTATTTTGAATTGATCTGGATTATTTTGAATCGATTTGAATTAGTTTGAATTGAAAATGTCCCTTCTTCAGGCCAAGGGCTCCGCTTCAAACCCCAAACGAACTTTTCTCAAACGCTTGAGTGCCAAACAGAGCATTTCACATTTTTAAAACAGCTGCATCGGACTTAACATACATCCCAGATGCTCAAAACCAGCCCCCCTTTTAGCTATTTTCCACTTAAAATCAGACACTTTATAACTCAGCAGTGAAGGGTCTCGGGATAAATTTAAGCACTCCAAACGACCCTTCTGTTCTTCATCAGAGTAAGGGAAGTCTCTAAAACAGGAGCATATTAAACCTATCCAAAAAATCCCTGTGTCATTTTGTTTGATGTGAATAACACCCACTTCATCTATTTTTTTCCTACCAATTTTGCATTATTTACCTGAAGAATACTGGAATTGGGGATGTCTAGTTTAATAAAAAGGAGGACTGGGGGAATAACATGATAGCAGTGTTCCAATATCTAAGGGGCTGCCCCAAAGAAGAGGGAGTCAAGCTATTTCCAAAGCACCTGAAGGCAGGACAAGAAGCAATGGATGGAAACCAATCAAGGAGAGAAGCAACCTAGAATTAAGGAGAAATTTCCTGACAGTGAGAAGAATTAATCCAGTGGAACAACTTGCCACCAGAGGTTGTGGATGCTCCAATACTGGACGTTTTTAAGAAGCGATTAGACAACTATTTGTCTTTCCTGCCTGAGCAGGGAGTCAGACTAGAAGACCTCCAAGGTCCCTTCCAAATCTGTTACTCTGTTATGAAAAGTCCTGGAGCAGTCAACATTTGCAAGTCTGTTTTGCATTCTTGCCTTAATGAAGGTTTGGTCATCCCCCCCCTTTTTTTTTTAAAAAAAATATGAATATATCCTCTGGCTACATGGAGACCTGGAAGCCTTTGCATCCACTCCAGCCCTGCCCTAACCTGCCATTAGATTCTGGCACCTGCAGTCTTTCTCCAAGTCCTTCGATTCATCGGTGCAGTAGAAGAAGCGGCCTTTGAAAAGCTGCACCGCGATGACAGCGAAGATGAACATGAAGAGCATGTAGACAATGAGGATGTTGAGAACGTTCTTCAGAGAGTTCACCACGCAGTCGAAGACCGCCTGTGCAAAAGGGAGCAAAAGGCCGTTTCAGAACTTGAAAAGCAGGTTTCCAACTTACCATTCCTCTACATGGGTCAGGCTTCATTTGGACTTGAGGGTGGATAGAATAGAATAGAATAGAATAGAATAGAATAGAATAGAATAGAATAGAATAGAATAGAATAGAATAGAGCTGGAAGGAAACTTGGAGGTCCTCTAGTCCAGCCCCCTGCTCAAGCAGAACCTATACTGTCTCAGACAGGTGAATGTCTAGTCTCTTCTTGGAAGAGAAGAGAAGAGAAGAGAAGAGAAGAGAAGAGAAAACAGAAGAGAATAAAATAGAATGCAGAATGCAATGAATAGAATAGAATAGAATAGAATAGAATAGAATAGAATAGAATAGAATAGAATAGAATAGAGCTGGAAGGAAACTTGGAGGTCCTCTAGTCCAGCCCCCTGCTCAAGCAGAACCTATACTGTCTCAGACAGGTGAATGTCTAGTCTCTTCTTGGAAGAGAAGAGAAGAGAAGAGAAGAGAAGAGAAGAGAAAACAGAAGAGAATAAAATAGAATGCAGAATGCAATGAATAGAATAGAATAGAATAGAATAGAATAGAATAGAGCTGGAAGGAAACTTGGAGGTCCTCTAGTCCAGCCCCCTGCTCAAGCAGAACCTATACTGTCTCAGACAGGTGAATGTCTAGTCTCTTCTTGGAAGAGAAGAGAAGAGAATGCAGAATGCAATGAATAGAATAGAATAGAATAGAATAGAATAGAATAGAATGCAGAATGCAATGAATAGAATAGAATAGAATAGAATGCAGAATGCAATGAATAGAATAGAATAGAATAGAATAGAATAGAATAGAATAGAATAGAATAGAATAGAATAGAATAGAATAGAATAGAATAGAATAGTCTATTGGCCAAGTGTGGTTAGGCACACAAGAAATTTGTCTCTGGTGCATACAAACAGCAAAGTGATGTCATAGATCATAAATCATAAGATACAACAATGAATAAATCATGATATAACGACAGGAGAAGGTAGTAGGAAAGATGATAATAGCAATATCACCCTACTACATGGGTGACTATCCCATGGCAGAAAACAGTTTTGTGGGAGTTAGATATTTAGCAGAGTGATGGCACGGGGGGGGGGGAATTGTCTTTGTGTCCAGTTGCTTTGGCACGCAATGCCCTCTAATGGTAGTCTCTCTTAAGTCAAGGGTGGAATTGCACAGTTGTTGGGTCTTACCTTCAATTTGGGGAGACGTTTGATGGTTTTCAGCGGCCGAAGGACCCGTAGCACCCGGAGGGACTTAATGGTGTTAATATCCTTTCCTTTGTTCCCTCTGCAAAAAAAAGATCATGACAGCAAGGAGAGGATTTCGTCCTGGCTCAACTCACTCCAAAGTCCTCCTTTCTAGGAAAATATACTCATTCCCCAGGAGATAATCTTCCCCCGATCTGCTGTATTATCCTTTTCCCCTCTCTCTGCAGCACCCCAAAATGAAACATATTCTCTAACGCTTGTGGATAATACGGCACCGAAGAAAACACCGCTCAGGGAACACCGTCGACAATTCCAGACTCCCGCCAAGTTTGACTTTGGGTTAACGAGTGTCTTTGTTTTCATGCTACTATCGTTCTACCCGCTTGCACCCAGTGGCAAAGAAGCTCAAGGCCCTGGAATGGTTGGCAAACATTCCATCAAATGACATAAAACTGCGCTCAATTTTATCTCATTCAGGTGATTGAAGCAAGCTCGGGACCTCAAGAGTGGCTGGCTGGCTTTGAGATTGTCGCTGTTCTTACCCATCAACTTAAATAAGTCCTCATTTTGCGTGCCTGCCCGCATGGGTCTCTTTGGAAAAGGAAGGGACTCCGCAAATAAGCGTGAAAAACGCTCACTTGTTTGAGTGCTGTTGTAGCAATAGCAGAAGCACTTACTTATATACTGCTTCATAGTGCATTAGAGCCCTTTCTAAATGGTTTACAAAGTGAGCCTTTTGTCCCTAACAATCTGGGTCCTCATTTTAACGACCTCAGAAGGATGGAAGGCTGTGTCAATCCTGAGCCAGTCAGCATCGAACTCCTGGCAGTGGGCAGAGTTTGCCTGCAATACTGCACTCTAACCACTGCGCCACCAGGGCTCCTAATGCAACATCTGATCAGTGACAGCAATAGCAATAGCACTTGGACTTATATACTGCTTCTTAGTGCTTCACAGCCCCCTCTAAGCGGTTTACAGAGTCAGCCTCTTGCCCCCCAATGATCTGGATCCTCATTTTAGTGACCTCGGAAGGAGGGAAGGCTGAGTCAACCTTGAGCCGGTGAGGATCGAACTGCTGGCAGTGAGCAGAGTTAGTCTGCAATGCTGCATTCTAACCACTACGCACCGTAGCTCCTAATAGCAATAGCACTTAGACTTATATACCGCTTCACAGTGCTTCACAGCCTTCTCTAAGTAGTCTACAGCATCTTGCCCCCAAACAATCTGGATCCTCATTTTACCAAGCTCAGAAGGACGGAAGGCTGGGTCAACCTTGAGCTAATCAGGATCGAACTCCTGGCAATGGGCAGAGTTTGCCTGAAATCCTGCATTCTAACCACTGCATCACCACGGTTCTAGTGTTTGTAACTTCAAGCAGTCACTAAATTAATCGTTGAGTCAAGGATTACCTGGAAGCTCCTCCTTGGCAAAGGCAAAGAAGGAGCAGGCCCACCACCACCCTGCCCCCAGTTGGACAAACTCAGCTCCAATCTCATCTCACCGAGGTTCCCCGATGGACACTAAGATTGCATTCCACTCTAATCATGCTCAGCCATGGAATCAACCCTATGGCTTACGTGCCTGTTATGAGACAGAGTGCATAGATGCCGGGCCAGTCATGCAGAAGAACGGGTTTCAAGAAATGGATGTGATGGTTAGATGAGGAACACTTGGGTGTGGGTTTTTGTTTTTTGTTTTTGTTTTTTTTTCATGTTTTGACCCAAAGTGAAACACATTCTCCGCTTCGGAAAGTGACCTGCGGGTCCTTATGTATCCAGTAAATTAAAATAATGTCAATCTCTACATTGGAAATGGGAGGCAGGATTTTTTTTTCTTTCCCAGCTACCTTAGAGAAGGATGCTTGGAAAACCTTTCTTTTAGCTCAAGACAGTGAGGAAGAATCCACATATACGTGAATGGTAGATAGACAGATGCGTCTATATTCATATCGCTGGCTATAGCTATAGTTCAAATCACTGAACAACGTGGATGCAGGCCTGGGCCTCTGAAGCCTAGAATGGACTTCTGGAAGTGGCATCCTCGCCCTTCCGGTGGGCCGTTCGAAGCCTGGGAAGCCTCCTCCAGGCCTCCGAGGCCTAGAATGGACTTCTGGAAGTGGCATCCTCGTACTTCTGGTGGGCTGTTCTAGGTAACTATGAATTATGCTGAACAGAAAAATCAGACTGGATCTGCCTCTGATCTTCTTGTTTCTGCCTCGAGAAGGTTCAAGGGTTGTTGAAGCAGAACTTTCAAAGAATGCATCAGAGGTTGCCCCACTGGTAAGTCATGGTGGGATCAAGACAAGAAGAAAAGGCAGGGAATCATGGACATTCCCCCCCCCACACACACAAACACACCAGAACACCTGCAGACTGGTGACTGTGGGTTGCCCCTTCCTAAGACAGGAATAATTTGGAGGAAATGTGTTCTTTGAGCATTTCAACAGACTATGAATAACAATATGGGTGAGAACAGTCAATGGAATGATCGTAACATGAATGGACAAGAAGGTTTTGGCCATGGCAGGCAATAACAAGGCCGCAAGGGAGAGCAATAATGTATTACCCTATGAAACTCCTACAGAGACGATCCCAGTGAAAGAAAGATAAAAAACAAAAAAAACAAAAAAACAGAGTCAGCCACAAGGAAGAAAATAATCCGAACCACAACCCCAGAACACACACAATGGTTGTGTTTCCAGGAAAGACAAGAAACCCCTCTACCCCTGTCCATTTAATGTGGGGGCATTTGAGAGTTTGGGGTCCAGGCCTATCCACCCTCCCGGCTAGCCAGTAAGAATAAAATGCACACTTGTGTTCATTATCGCCATGATGATACATTTCCCCCCCTATTTTTACATCCTGACCACTCTCAGTCTAACTTCATGAGTGTTGAATGCGGGCTTGGGAGATTAAAACGAAGAGTAGGTTCAAAGTGAAGAGATTCCTCCACCCCATTGGATCAAACCTCTGAAATAATTCCCAATTTCCCAAACAAGTTGGGTCTCTCCAGCGTTTTCCTTCCGTTGGGGCAGAAAAGATGAAGAAGAAACTACTCTGAATGTTCTGAAGTAGTCTACATTTCTACTCAAAATAGTAAGTTTTATGATAGCCCAGATGAACAGAGATCAACTCCAAAGCAAACATTAGTTCTGTTCACCCAAAACAACTGAGATTGTCAACAACAAATCTTGTCTTATATCTGTAAAACATCCCAAACTTGGTTAGTTTTACCCTTGGCTGGTTTTTTCCCCCCCTGTTCAACCCTACATAAATCTATGATTCAATGAACGGTTTTGTTCAAACCAAGAATTTAATTCATTCAGCAAATGCAGAAAACCAGAATGAAGAAGGAAAAAAAAAAGTACAGGAAAGGGAATTTGTTGCAGATTTCTACGGGAACTGGATTCTGATGGCAGAAAAACGAATTCCATCGTAGCTCAGATGACAATGCTGGGTAGAATAAAAACATCTGATGGAGAAGGATAGCTCCCCAAAAGGACATTTAAATATTGTAAATAGTTTATGTCAGAATTATTCAGTGGTTTGCAATTGCAAGAAGCTCCAGGAGGCATCCCTTCCCCCCAAAAAGGAGCTGGAGGCACCCACATTAATGAATGTCATGGATGGGACCTCTGCAAGTTTGACTGAGCTATAAGTGCCAGCAATCCTGAATCCCGCTTTAGTTTGTGCTAAAAGAAGGACGTTTTTCCCCTGTCCAATTCTAGGGGTGTCTTTGTGTGCTCATCTGTTTCTTGGCCAGCGTAGTCCAAAAGCAATTTCATGGCCGTGTGGCTGGCAGGTCTATATGGAATGCTGTTCTCTTCCACTGAAGTGGTACCTATTAATCTACTCGCATTTGCATGCTTCCAAACAGCTAGCTGGGGCAAAGACGGGAGCTCACCCACTCTCACTGCACTCGGGTCTCAACCGCCTGCTGTCAGCTGACAAGCTCGGGCGTCTTTAACGCACCCTGTCAAAAGGAGGTTAATGGTAGATTATCTGCATAACTTCCATTGAATGAATCACTTCCAGGTCACAGGACCCCTACAGGAACGTCTAGGTTATGAGAGCAGCAGCAGTCAATTTTATTTTTATTTTTCAGCACAGCATCGCTCTGCTTTCCACTTTAGGAAATCAGAGCTCAGGAAGAAAAGCTACTTACGAAAAGGCAAATGCCACAAGAGCTCCACTGACCACAATGAAGTCGAGGATGTTCCAAAGATCCCGGAAATAGGCACCACGATGCAGCAAAAGTCCCAAGTCAATCATCTTCGGAAGAAGAAGAAGAGGAAGAAAAAAGATATGAGGGGTGCAGGGAGGAGAAAAAAAAAGGGAGAAAGGTGTATCTTGCTATTGATTTTAATAGTTCGGTGGACTATTACATGTATTGAGGAGTGTAGCACTGATGACGTTACCTAGATGGGTCATGAAATGTCTGCAAGAAAACCACCAAGTTCCTCCTCCTCCCTGCAAACCCCACCCCCTTCTAGCACTGATGACGTTCCCTAATTGGATCATGAAACGTCTGCAAGAAAACCACCAAGCTCAGAGAGCACCAAGGACCTGACCAGTCCTCCTCCTCCTCCTCCTCTTTCTCCCTGCAAATCCCACCCCCTTCTAGCACTGATGACATTACCTAGTTGGGTAATGAAACGTCTGCAAGAAAACCACCAAGCTCAGAGAGCACCAAGGACCTGACAGTCCTCCTCCTCCTCCTCTCCTCTCCTCTCCTCTCCTCTCCTCTCCTATTCCTCCTCCCTGCAAACCCCACCCCGTTCTAGCACTGATGACGTTACTTAGTTGGGTAATGAAATGTCTGCAAAAAAACCACCAAGCTCAGAGAGTACCAAGGACCCCTCAGTTCCACCCTGACCTAAAAATATTCTCCTTTATTGGTTTATGTGTATTCTTGCACATCCTCAAAATTCTATGCGGACTCCCCAGGATGCAGCTATTATAAGTATGCAAATAAGTGATTCAATGTCCCTGGTGTGTATCATTCCTCTGTAGACATGCTCCTAAGAGATCTGGAGAAAGATACTTACCTTTATCACCATCTCAAAAGTAAAGACACCTGTAAATATATAATCCAGGTACTTGAGAGCCTGAAAACAGAAGGAGCAGTTCAAAAGTGAAAGGGGGTTGAATCCAAAGAAAAATACATTACATATAAAGAATCACATAGATTTCTTCTGCTGGGATGTTTCATCATCTGTATTGCTCTAAGATCTGAGACGTGCTTCCGTCTTACAGGCTCAGCTTAGGAGCTGGTCTTTGAAGCACTGGTAACCGTAGTGACGCAGTGGTTAGAAGGCAGTACTGCAGGCTAACTCTGCCCACTGCCAGCAGTTCGATCCTGACCAGCTCAAGGTTGACTCAACTTTCCATCTTTCCAAGATTGGTAAAATGAGGACCTAGACTGTTGGAGTCAATAGGTTGACTCTGTAAACTGCTTAGAGAAGGTTGGAAATCACTATGAAGTGGTATATAAGTCTAAGGGCTATTGCTATTGGTACCCACTGGCGCTTGCTTGGGGATGCTAGACAGAAGCCGCTTTTGGAAAACAAGCAACTGGCCATTCTTTGTAAACCACCTAGCCAGATCTCAGGAGGCATCCCTGTCTTCTAGGAAAGGGTGATATGCATAGAAGAAGAACCGCATCCCTTTCAGTTCCATATTTGATGGCCTGGTTGTCTTGGCAACAGGAATCAGTTCCATCTCCATCCCACACTCAAGCAGCAGAAAACGGCAGGTAGGATGCCTGAAAACTGGGACCAAGGAAACATGCAGAAGAAGGCAAAGTGGAGAGCTGTGGTGGCACAGTGGTTAGAATGCAGTATTGCAGGCTAACTCTGCCCACTGCCAGCAGTTTGATCCTGACCGGCTCAAGGTTGACTCAGCCTTCCCTCCTTCCGAGGTTGGTAAAATGAGGACCCAGTTTGTCGGGGGTCAAGATGCTGACTCTGTAAACTGCCTAGAGAGGGCGGTAAAGCCCTGTGAAGTGGGATATAAGTCTAAGGGCTATTGCTATCACTATCTTCAGCTCAATCCAATACAGAGACATTCCTCTAGAGTTGAACATCTTCCCACAAGCCAACCTGAACTCTCATTTCTCACCTCATTTCTGGGTGACTCCGCTTGAACAGGATCTTCGGCAGCCAGGGCAATGCTGCTGAGTGCGATAACAAAGAGGATGACCATCTCAAAATAACGCATGTTGACAATGTAGTGACAGAGGCGCCGGAGACTGCAGAAGCCAAACAGTGGGAGAGGAACGGTCAAGGAAGATATGGTCATATTGCGTAGGGCGGCATCAAAGGGACCACATTGTCTCTCGGAAAGTTGATACAATATTGGATGTCCAAAGGAAAACATGAAAGGCTGGGATCAACATCTGCCACACTAGGGTAGCTGTGAGGCTCTGGCAGAGCACCCCGTGTGATGAGAAAGCTTTTGTTAACATGGTACAACACCTAATCAAGATCTTAGCACACCCCTTCCCTGACAAATCAATGTAGTCTCCACTCAGCAAAGATGACTTACGGGTTGGTTGGGCTTAAGACGAACATGGAGCTGTAGGGAAGGATTGGTTTTGGTCTGCTGTTGGCCACGTCATCCTCAGCATCAATGTCCTTCTTCTCTTCCATTTTGGCTTCAAATTCAACGTTGTTCACTGCAGGGTTGACCAGGATATTACTACATCTCAAAATGAGAATGTCTGAAGAGAGTCAGGGAACACTATTTTGTTGCTGGGGCCAAGAAGAAAATGACCAGTTCTATTTTGGGAATAAAACCCAACTGAACTGGCAGCTCCTTCAGTGTATTTGTCCTTGAAGAAACCAGTCCATCCTACCAATGGCCAGCTAGTTACTTGTGTCCCATGAGAAATACAAGATTTAACTCTTATCGCTTCCAGTTAAAAGAATCCTGGAGCAAAGGGAGATCAGCACCCATCTCTGTCATACCTAGATTGTCAGGCATCCCAGCTTGGTCAGTTAGAAAAGACTCTCAAATCCATTATTAGGGAAAGGGCACTTTACTAAAGCTAAGTGGTTGAAGAAGAAGCAAAGCTGGATCTGAGAGTTGCGCACCCAAAGCCTATGATTAACATTTCCCTTGTGGCCACCTTTCCCCCTGGTTATCACCAAGTGTCCAGTTAGGTGTTTGGGTAAGAGTCCCTGTCTTCGCAGGCTGGATGGTTCTGCATTCCATAGGGTGAACTTGAAACGGCCAGCGACTCTCATTGGATGGCACAATGTGTAGTTTCGATTCCTCTCATGTTACTCTCCCTTTATCTCATCCTGCAATTCTTCCCTCCCCCTCCCCAGTTGGGTATGGCAGGCTGACCGCAGGCAACGCACGGTGTGGCAGGATGGCAGCCCATCTGGACTGCTGCCCATCCCAATGGCAGAGTTGCCTAACTAGATGTCAGCCCCGCGAGATTGGGAGACAAAGGGATAGGTTTACAGTAACAGAATCTTGCAAATCGGAATGGCTTCCCCCCTTTGTCTTGGTGAGAACTAGAGAGGGTCTCGTCTTTCTCAAATTACCTTACCTGAAGGCTGCCTCGCTTGCAGCTCTTCCTCCTGTTCCTCGGGGTTATTCCTATGGATCATTATACTTGAGAAGGAGGTGAACCACTCACTCCACCCCCCAAAAAACAGCTTCTGATGTTAGAAACACTCACTTGGTATGACGGATGCGTCCCCGGGAGGAGCGGTGACGGTGACAGGAATGTTGACAGGGGCAGGCTTGTCCAAAGATGGTTGACCCATGCGGGTGACATTCTTCTGATTGTCAGCATCCTCTGGCTGCTCAGGGACCCTCTGCAAACAGGTGCTGGGCAAGGTGTGAAGAGGGGCCACAGTCATGCTTATGCCCGCCTCTGTGTCACACTGGCTTTCCCTGAAGAGAAAGAATAAATATGAGAATAATCTCATTTCTCCCATCCAAATCTTCCTACAGTTTCTTTAACCCAGCAGAACATAGACTGAGGGCTCCTTGGTGCTCTCTGAGCTTGGTTGTTTCCTTGCAGACGTTTCATGACACAACTAGGGAACTTTCTCAGTGCTAGGGTGATGTTAGCCAGCACTGATGGTCTATGGCGATTCTCAGTCATCCAGGTCATGGCTGTCCCAAAGATGCTTTTTCACGAGACAACCGGACTTCCGTGTTTTTCTTGGAAGGCGTTTCGCTTCTCATCCAAGAAGCTTCTTCAGCTCTGATTGGATGGTGGGGAATGGGAGGATTTATATTCAGCAGTTCCAAGAAGGATCCACACCCATTTGCATGACTCAGGTGACCCCGAGGACACAGATAAACCTCCAAGTGGCCTCAATGACTCTCTAAAAGCATGCAAACGACCAGCTGTCTGCAAGGAGTATAAATCCTTCGATTCCCCACCATCCAGTCAGAGCTGAAGAAGCTTCTCGGAGGAGAAGTGAAACGTCTTCAAAGAAAAACAAGAAAGTCTGGTTGCCTCGTGAATTAGCACTGATGATATTACCTAGTTAGGTCATGAAACATCTGCAAGAAAACAACCAAGAGAGCAGCAAGGACCCCTCATTTCAACCCTGAACTGCTAATATTCTTCTTTATTGGTAGAACATAAACTGAAATCCACTGGAGGTTTTCCCCCAATAATCAGCAGTAGATTGTAAGGGACTCGGATTCCCACTCCTTAATGGAAAATTACATTTCCCAAGATGGTTGACAATCAACTAGCATGACCATTAGGTGGTAAGTAAAGAGTTCTAATCCCTCAGGAACGTAATAGATGGCATTAAGCGAAAATGACACCTTATGGTGATTTTGCTGTAGATTTGTATGTTTAACTGCTGCTTATCACAGCAGGTGAGCCTTCAGGAAGAAAATAGATTCCACCTCCCAAAACACAAGTCTGTGTTTGACGTTTCTCATCTCCCCTGCACATACACACAGCTCATTGCTGCTCTTCATTCGATTCTGCCCATCCAGCCATTATTCTGCAGTTGACTGTGCTTAATGGACGTTGGGGGTTCCAAAGAGAAATTAAGCTGTCATTTTGAAAATACGGATTCCAGGTATGGGTAGATTCAAAGGAGTCACCTCTGTGTGAGTTGAGTAGCCATATCAATTTGTTTAATAAGTAATAAAATAAATAATACAGAGAAAGAGAGAGAGAGAGAAACAGAAAAACAGAGACAAAAAGAGAAAAAGAGAAAGAAAGAGAAATAGAAATAGAAAGAAAGCAAAAGAGAAAGAAAGAGAAAGCAAAAGAGAAAGAAATAGAAAGAGAAAAAAGAAAAAGAGAAAGCAAAAGAGAGAAAGAGAAAGAGAGAAAGAGAATACAAGAGAGAGAGAGAGAAAGCAAGAAAGAGAGAAATAGAAAGAAAGAAATAGAAATAGAAAGAGAAAGCAAAAGAGAAAGAAAGAGAAAGAGAAAGAAAGAAAAAGAGAAAGCAAAAGAGAGAAAGAAGGAGAGAAAGAAAGAATACGAGAGAGAGAGAGAGAAAGCAAGAAAGAGAGAAAGAGAAAGAGAAAGAGAAAGAGAAAGAGAAAGAGAAAGGGATGTCCGGAAGATTACAGTTACAAATATCACAAACTAGAAGTTGCAGATCAAAACTGGCTTTACAGAAATCCCTGGAAGGCTTGAAAATTATTCATCAGCATAAATTTTGCCAAAAATGCAAGCCAGGGATCTCAAATGCCAGCCCATGGAGGAGGCTAGGATATTGTAATTGTCACCTGGTGACAATTACAGACCCAGAATTCTCTTTGTTCTCAGGAATTAGTTTTTAATATATATATATATATATATATATATATATATATATATATATATATATATATATATATATATATATATCAATAAAAAAAAAATCCAGAATCTTTACAAGCAGTTTTACAAGTTCTCGATGCTGGCCCACATCAGTTGTTATCAATCCAAGCCTCCCCACTCCCCATCCTCTATGCATCCTCATATAGCCAGCTCACCTTGGCTGCACATTCTTTAGATCCTTTCTCCCCAGCTCTCCTTCTTTCTCTCCGTTCTCCTTGTCCACTGACTCATAAGTGGAGAGGGCCTTGTGCCGTATCTTCTGCCGTCGGTGGGGCTCTTCGCCCCCCTCCCCTTTGGAGCCAGCCTCCCCTTCTCGGTTGCCCGGCCTGGACCCTCCTCGGTGGCGGGAACGTCGTTCGGTCTTGGTTCCGTTGGCGGTCCCGTTGCCTTCTTTGACCTGTCGCTCAACGGGATGCCGATGACCTCGGTGGCGTCGATGCTCCCTCTCAGCACCTTCCTCCACGGACCCCCGGCGATGGTGATGCCGGCCTCTCTCCTGGCTCCGGTTGCGTTCGCTCTTCCCTTCCTTCCCACCCCCCTCGCCCACCTCTTTGCTGCGGCTCCGGTAGGGCCGGTGGCGTTCCTCCTTATTGTTCCCACCACCCAATTCACCATTCTCTTCCTTGACGGCACTGCCTTTTTCCGTGTCTCCCGTCTTCTCCTTCTCGCGATGCCGGTGGTGTTTCCTCACAACCTCGTCGTTCTCAGGCGGTGGGGCCTTCACCTGGTCAGGGGCCTCCTGCCCCTCTGCAGGGCTGACGGCATTGAGGTTGCTGCTGTGGCCTTCGCTCCTGGGCTCAACCACCAGAGGCCGGTCCAAGTGAGTCTTCATGTCAGGACGGATGTGGAGGTTGGTCGCATAGCGGACCCTGTCCTCTGGGTCCAGCTCATTGTACAGGGCTTCAGAGCTGGTGCGGAAGTTGTACACGCGGAGCTGGCTGGTCCTCTGCTCCCACACGGATTTGGATTTGCAGGAATTCTGCTGTTTGCTACAGAAGGGAGAGGTGGAGAGGAACACGGGAAGGGAAAAGAGAAGACGGGAAATGGAAGGAAAAGAAGAGGGATAAGAGTTGGGGATGGTACCATCGTCTTTGACAAAGCAACATGATGTCTACGGAGATTCTCCATGCTCCAGCTTGGCCCAAAGGTGGACTTTCTTGGTTTTCTTTGAAGGACGTTTCACTTCCCATCCAAGAAGCTTCTTCAGCACTGATTGGATGGTGGGGAATGGAAGGATTTAGACTCTCTAGAAGGCGGCAAATGACCAGCTGACTGCAAGGAGTATAATCCTTCCATTCCCCACCCATCCAGTCAGACCGATGAAGCTTCTTGGAGGAGAAGCAAAAGGTCTTCAAATAAAAACAAAGAAATCCAGTTGCCTCTTGAAAAAGCAGCTTTGGGCCAAACAACATGCCATTTATCTAGGACTCTCGTCTCTCCAAGTTGAGAGAAAATATTGACCATAACATCTATGGAGATTCTCAGTCAGCCAGGACCCCATGACTGAAAAAAAAAACCCTTGGGGATGTTATTTTGTGGGGTTACTGTTGCCCTTAAACATTAAAAAAGGAAAAACATCAAGGAATGTCAATTAAATTAGAATACACCCAAAAGATCCATATTAAAAACCTAAGCAAGTCTTACTCTAAGAAAACCATAGAATAGCATGATGAATTTCTAATCATCCTTATGAAATAACCCCTTTATGATTAAAAACAAATAAGGTACATTAAACCCTATAAAACCTATTCTTAGCAATGCGGAAGTAATTAAATTAATGAAATGATGGGAAGTATGACCGTTAGACTCTACTCGTCAATTTTTCAATGAGTTAACTAATTTTTTTTTCTGGATAACGGGGACTTAGCCATGATTTCTCTTGCATGTGGAAATAAATGCAAAGTAATTTCCTTGGGATTGGCATCCATGTCTCTTTAGAACTTTCTATTAAAAAGAATGACAAAATAACAGAATAACTATGGGACCTCGGAGGTCTTCCAGTCTAACCCCTGCTCAGGCAGGAAACCCTATACCATTTCAGACAAATGGCTGTCCAGTCTCTTCTTAAAAACCTCCAATGATGGAGCATCCACAACTTCTGAAGGCAACACATTCCACTGATTGTTCTCATTGTCAGGAAATTTCTCCTTAGTTCTAGGTTGCTTCTCTCCTCAATTAGTTTCCATCCTTTGCTTCTTGTTCTGCCTTCAGGTGCTTTGAAGAATAGCTTGACTCCCTCTTCTTTGGGGCAGCCCCTGAGATATCATGTCACCCCCGATCATTCTTTTCACTAAACTAATACACAATTCCTGCAACCGTTCTTCACAATACTTTTTTCTTGAAACCTGCAAGATTCATGGTCTCGGATATGCTAGTTTACCCTGTACCCAGAATTCCAGAAGGAAAACTATTGGCCACCCCATAACCCATGAAAGGTGGGACCCCAATCTATGTCTCTTGCTGAACTAAATGGCAACCACTCCCCCAGCATCAAAATACATTTTATTAATTATTGCAAGCTGTTCAGTGGAAAATTAAGAGCTGGAACTGGAACTCTGCAAGCATTAAAACTATATGCAGGAACGGGCGGAAGCCTGTTCATTGTGGTGCTAACAAATTCATTCTGACATGTCAATCTCCCAAAAAAAAAAGAAAAGAAAATTATTTGCCCCCTCTGTAAATATAAAGTAAATCTTAATAGCAATGCTGCAGTTAGTTGTTAGGAGCATGGTTCTTTCCACCCATGAGCTCCTGTAGTCTTTCAAAAAATATTTTGAGGTAGATTAAAACTATGAGGGGGGAGTGCAATGGTTAAAGATGCTGAGCTTGTCAGCTGGAAAGTTGACAACTGGTGTTCAAGAGCTGAGCACAGCGGAACGGGATGAGCTCCTGTTCTTACCTCAGCTCCTGCCCACCTCGCAGTTTGCAAATATGCAAACGTGAGTAGATAAATAAGTACCACTTCAGTGGGAAGGTCACAGAGTTCCGTGGCCTTTGGCTTCTACTCATGTTGGCCAAAATGTCTTTGGACAATGCTGGCTCGCCCGGTCAAGGACTGGAGACTAGCACCGTGCCCTAGAGTTGGACACGACTAGACGTGGAAACTTTTAGCTTTTTTTAAAATCCCAGGCGGATCAATATTGGGGATCCAGTATAGTGAGTTTATTATCTCAGAGGAAAAGATAGCCTTACTGTACGTTTTTCAGCTTATCTTTTTCGTGTGGCCAACAACAGGGTTGGAGTTGTTTTTTTTTCCTCCATTCTACGGAGATGTGTTCCCCGCTTGCCTCTCCTGATGTCGAGGATCTGAACTCAGAGAATTACCACGGGATCTGTTGCACCAAAAATGCTCAGCACTCAGATATCTCCTTTTGGGTGATATTCTCCTGGGGCCACAGGACCGTAGCCTCAAGAAAGTTCCTATTTATCGCCTAAAAACCATTTGCCAGATGACACCAAGACTAAAATCAGGAATGAGTGGCTCCATGCACAGCTGATTCACACTGAAAATGTCACAGCTCTGAGTCACTGCTCAGAAGAACAAGAGGTCTTAGTGAAGTAACCTCAACCCTTGACTCTCCTCAACACAAGGGCCTATTTGAAGACTCTTGGATAGGTTGAGATCTATCCCTGCAAAATTCAACCAATGGGCTTGTTTTGGTGTTATAAGATCCTGCTACGGATTGACCTCAAGTCAGTTCTTGGGGGTGGGGGGCAGGATTTATCTCAAGAACTGCCATCTTGGAGGACCTCCAAGGCATGTCACATCATGTACTTTAACTATCTCAAACTTTGTTTGTTATCTGTACTGGTCAGTTGAAATTGGTAATCTCACAAGATAAGCTGAGTCCAGAGATCAGGCAGACCACAGAGGGACTATTGGCTAATCCCATCTCTTCAAGATAGTCTTCCTGCTCTCATCTGCATCATCATCATCATCATCATCATCAAGTTGGAAGGGACCTTGGAGGTCATCTAGTCCAACCCCCTGCTCAGGCAGGAAACCCTATATACCATTTCAGCCAAATGGCTGTCCAGTCTCTTCTTAAAAACTTCCAGTATTGGAGCATTCACAACTTCTGGAGGCAGTTTGTTCCACTGATTAATTGTTCTCACTGTCAGGAAGTTTCTCCTTAATCCTAGGTTGCTTCTCTCCTTAATGAGTTTCCATCCTTTGCTTCTTGTCCTGCCTTCTGGTGCTTCAGAGAATAGCTTGACTCCCTCTTCTTTGGGGCAGCCCCTGAGATATTGGAACACTGCTATCATGTCCTTCTCTTCATTAAACTAGACATACCCAATTCCAGCAACCGTTCCTTATATATTTTAGCCTCCAGTCCCCTAATCATCTTTGTTGCTCTTCTCCGTACTCTTTCTAGAGTCTCAACATCTTTTTTACATCATGGTGACCAAAATTGGATGCAGTTGAGGGGGGAGGAAGACACAAGGTGAGAAAAATCTATTAAATGGGGTCAAAGAGGAGAACCAAGCTTTTAACCGGAATCATGAAGGGTCCACAAAGAAAGGAAGCAAGAGGGAAGAGGGAGGGGAACAGACAGGGCACAGAGAACATGCAAGGACATGGATATGGAGCCGGGAGAGAAAAAGAACACGGGAAGCTCAAAAACACACATTGGGAATGCTCAGAAGAAACTCACAAGCCTTTGCAGGGATATGCTGCCCAACTGATGCTCCGTCATGAATTTCCACAATGAAAGGGGTGACTCAAAGCCGGGGGAAAAACGGGGTAGGGAAAAGTCTATTTGAAAAAAACAAATCGCTTACCGATTTATAGATATCTATCTATCTATATATATATAAGCTATATAATCAATCCATTTATTGAATAGTGTATACGGAGGGCAACTCACGGTGAATTTACGCTGGAGAGCGACGAGCTGCGCGATATGGAACTTCGAGTTTGCTTTACAAAACTGCACATGCGAGAAACAGAAGAATACAAAAGTGAGAGGGAAAAGAAAAAAAAACCCGGTGAAAATCTCTAAAGAGGAAAAAAAAAAAAAAGGAAGGGAAGGAGGGAGAGAGAGAGAGAGAGAGGAGAGATCAAGGGGCCCTTAACAAACTCCAGGACAGAGAGGGTGCAGGCTGGGAATGTGCATTTTGGAAGGAAACCACGGTCAGCAAACTTCAGGATAAGAGTTTGGGATGAAGTCAGAGACATCATCTGTTAAACCAAAAGAAAAAAGAAAGAAAGAAAAAAAAAAGAAAAGAAAAGAAAAAAGAAAAAAGGAGGGGGGAGAATAAAGCGAAATAAAAAAATAAATTAAAAAGAAAAAACAAAAGTTCAAGAGGGGGTTTAGTGTTTCTACAGTCTCTTTCTGTCTTGCAGACATTGTATCGTCCAAACGTCACTCCGTTTAACAGGAATTTCCATTCAGAAAACTGTGGGGTCCTTGGTGCTCTCTGAGCTGGATTGCTTTCTTGCAGACGTTTCATGACCCAACTAGGTAACATCATCAATGCTAGAAGGGAGTGGGGTTTTGGGGGGGGGGAAGAAGAGGAGGAGGAGGCCAATTGTGGGGTCCTTGCTGCTCTCTGAGCTGGGTGGTTTTCTTGCAGACGTTTCATGACCTAACTAGGGAACACCATCAGCGTTAGAAGGGAGTGGGATTTATAGAGAGGAGAACAAATACTGTGGGGTCCTTGGTGCTCTCTGCTCTTGACTGTTTTCTCGCAGACATTGCATGACCCAACTAGGTAACCTCATCAGTTCTAGAAGAGAGAAGGGTTGGGCTCTGTTTTTAGACAAGAAATTCAGAGATAATGCAGAGAACCATCTGAAGTGGACCTTGGCTGGTGCTGGAAAGTCACAGTGTTATATACAACAACCCGCCTCCCATTTGAAAAATTAACTTACTTAATCCCATTTCCTGAAGGAGGTAAAGAAGACATTTTAAAATCTATCTCACAAATACATCACCTTTTTAGTATAAAAGACCAGAATGCATTTTGTGGAATATGTACTTAAGCGAAGCAAGGGGTTAGTAGGGTCAAAGCTGCAACACTCTGCCCAGAGTAAATCCCTCACCCTGCCCGTGTTCCTTTTAACTGCCCCTTATTTTATTTTCCGCTAAGCAAATTCCCCCACATGCCCTCCCACCTTGTCCAAACCTTAAAAGCAGGAAGTTTTGACTTAGGTGGAAACTAGGAATAAGGGTCAATTCTGCATCTTAGATTTATTACGGAAACTTAGCTGAACAGAGAACACTTTGAATACATAAACTAAGAGACATGAGTTGGTTGGTTCATGGGAAAGAAGGAAGGAAGGAGTGGAGGGGAAGAAAGGAAGGAAGGATAGAAGGATAGAAGGAAGGAAGGAGTAGAGGGGAAGGAAGGAAGGGAAAAAGGAAGGGAAGGGAGGAAGGAAGGAAAGAAGGAAGGAATAAAAGGGAAATAGGAAGGGAGGAAAGAAGGAAGGATACAAGGAGGGAAGGAAAAAGGGAAGGGAGGGGAAGGAAGGAAGGGAAAATGGAATGTAATGAAAGAAGGAAGGAAGGGAAGGGAAGGGAGGAATGGGAAAGAAGGAAGGGAAAAGAGAAGGGAAGGGAAGGGAAGATGGAACAAAGGAAGGAAGGAAGGAAAAGGGAAGGGAAGAAGGAAGGACTGCTTGGTATATTGATGTTTCAGTGGATATTTATTCTTTAATTCGAGGGAGGAGAGAGGGAAGGAAGGAAGGAATCATCACCTTGTTGTCTTCCTTCTAATTGAAGTTTCTGGATCATCTTCAAAAGCCCCCTCAACCCAATGCATTGCTCTCATCCCACTGGTGATGCACCACAGCCTCGACCCCGTGACCTGCCCTATGAATTAACCGGGACTGAACTAAGACGAACAAGTTTCACGGTGCACAAGATGCAAGCCTTGGGCAAAAGGTAGGGTGGAGAGAGGGATCGATGCCACTTTTTGAAACGACAGGAAGCCATGGAAGCGCTCGCTGACAAGGGTGTGTTAGGTTGAGATGAGAAAGCAGCGTGTCGGAGATGAAAACGAGGGAACACAAAGCAAAGGAAAAGAATCCAGGTTAAAGCAGGACATGCCCACAAAATGATCGACGGTCAGGTGAGGAGCAGAAGGTGGCCTAGTGACCACGACTTCCTCCTGAGCAGCAATCAGAATAAGGGAAGGGACCTCGGAGGTCTTCTAATCCAGCCCCCTGCCCTGCTCAAGCTGGAGACCCTGTACTATTTCAGGCAAACGGCGGTCCAGTCTCTTCTCGAAAACCACCATTGTTGGGACACCCACAACTTCTAGAGGCACGCCGTTCCACGGATTAATTGATTTGGGACTTTAGGATGACAGAAGAACGGAATTGGAAGGGACCTTGGAGGTCTTCTAGTCCAACCCCCTGCTCAAGCATGCACCATTCTGGACAAATGGCTATCCAATCTCTTCTTGAATTGCTCAGCCACATCTGGGGTAGTGACTGCTCATGCAATCTTATTAGCGGAATATATAGGACATGTACAAAGCTCAGGAGGTCTACCCATTCTAGAGCATCTCCAGAAAAGTGTGACTAATTCAGTTTTTACTTCTGCGTGGACTGCTCAGATCTCCCGAAATGTTTTCATACTCTCTCTCTCTCTCCCCCTACTTACATCTATCTATCATCTATCATCTCTCTCTGTCTCTCTCCCTCCTTACATCTGTCTGTCTATCATCTATCATCTGTCTATGTCTGTCTGTCTGTCTGTCTATCTATCGTATCTCCCTTTCTCTCTCTCCCTTTCTCTCTTTCTCTCTCCTGTATCTCCCTCTTCATGTCTCTCTCTCCCTACTTACATCTATCATCTCTCTCTCCCTCCCTTCCTACTTACATCTATCTATCTATCTATCTATCTATCTATCTATCTATCTATCTATCTATCTATCTATCTATCCCTACTTACATCTATCATCTATCATCTGTCTATGTCTGTCTGCCTGCCTGCCTGCCTGTCTGTCTATCTATCTACTGTATCTATTGTATCTTCCTTTCTCTCTCTCTTTCTCTTTCCTGTATCTCCCTCTTCCTGTCTCTCTCTCTCTCCCTACTTACATCTGTCTATCATCTCTCTCTCTCCCTCCCTCCCTTCCTACTTACATCTATCATCTATCTATCTATCTATCTATCTATCTATCTATCTATCTATCTATCTATCTATCACTGTCTCTCTCTCCCTATTTACATCTATCATCTGTCTATGTCTGTCTGTCTGTCTATCTATCTATCTACAGTATTTCTCTCTTTCTCTCTCTCTCTCACACATACACACACAGACAGACAGACACAAATCTAACATTTCTGGTTCTCCTCAAAACTCTTCTAAGAGTTCAGGTGGGAACCACAAAAGCTGGTGAGGTCTTCACAAAATTCATCTTCAGCTAATTTGGGAGCCTCTGTTCATGGGGTGTGTGGAAGCTCTGCAGGTTAACTCTTAATTTATCTCATGGTCCTCAAAGGTTTATGACGACAACATAGACCTGCACATAGTGGAAAAGACTGGAAACCATCCAGCTGGAAGAACGAACTCAAGAACCTTCCTATTGGAAGTCGGTATGAAACGTTTTCACCCAATCCCCCAAGTTGAAGGTGATGGATCGGTGATTTGAAGAAAGGTTAATATATCTAAGATAGGTAATGCCATAAAGTCTTACGCTGTGATAGAAATGTTAGCTGCAGACAGGGGGCTAACATCTGCAACCTCTTTCGCCTTCTGCAAGGCAAGCTTCTGGTTGGTAGCTTCTTCCATTTCTTCTTCATCCTGCAATGGAGAACAACGGTGGACAGAAAGACAACTTGATTCAAAGGACCATCTTGCTTTCACCCCTTCTCTTTTTTTGAAAAAAGATAAATATTATTACTTCTGCACTGCTGTTAAACACTTGAGTGATGTCTAGGAAGATCTTCCAGAATCTCACCATACTTCCAAACATAGTAAGAAGAACACTGATCTTGGTCCCTGTTTCCATAAGCATGAGTGACTGAATTTGCAGGATCCTTCCCAGCTCTACATTTTTTTTTCAGTTGCCATTAAAGGCCACAAGCACCTGCTATTATCTATTTTCCTGAAATAAATTCCACCAAATTCTAATAGGAGCTGGAGAGACTTGTAAAACATTGAAACAATATTTGTAGCTCGGGGTTCAACTGTGGGGTCTTTGGTGTTCTCTGAGCTTGGTGGTTCGCTTGCAGATGTTTCATGACCCAACTAGCTAATATCATCAGTGCTAGAAGGGAAGAGAGCAAACCCCATTCTCTTCTAGCACTGAAGATGTTACCTAGTTGGGTCATGAAATGTCTTAAAGAAAGCAACCAAGCTCAGAGAAGACCAAAGGCCCCACAGTTGTAAAGCTAATCGGTCAAGTATCCGAGGCCATTTAATCAAAGGAACCACAAAGGATAAACATTACACAGCTCTTTTCTCTCTCTCTCTTTCTTACTCACCTTGGTCAACTCTTGTGCGTTGGCAAGATTGTCTACCGCAATGGCCAGGAAGACATTCAGGAGCGTATCTGATTCAGCTGCTAAGGATCTCAAAGGACGTGACTCTCCTCGTGTGCTAAACTATGTGCTAATTTCCCAAACAAATTAGAAGGTAGCAAAAAAACAAGATGCCTGCGTTGGTCTGAATTAGAAAAAAAAATAATTAAAAAAGAGGAGGGGACAAATTAACAGCCGTTTCGGACAAATGGCTGTCCAGTCTCTGCTTAAAAATTTCCAGTGTTGGAGCATTTGCAGCTTCTGGAGGCAGGTTGTTCCACTGGTTATTTGTTCTAATTAGCAAATCAGATTTTCAGCAGGACAAGGATACAGTTACCAAAGAGTGTGAGGACAATGAAGTAGATGGAGGAGAACATTCCAGAATGGACACCCCCTTGGGATTCGATGCCCTGGTACATCACGGCGTTCCAGTCTTCCCCAGTCAGAATCTGAAAAAGTCAGGGAATCAGGGAAGAAGAAGAGTGTGAAAGAAAAGAATAAGTCTCTTTTGCTTCGAGAATAGAGAGCCCACCATGGAGAGGTTGCTCCAGGAAGAATGGGGTGGGGTGACCACTTCTCAAATAATCAGAATAACAGAGCTGGATGGGACCTTGGAGGTCTTCTAGTCCAACCCCCTGCTCAGGCAGGAAACCCTATACAATTCCAGAAAAATGGTTGTCCACTCTCTTCTTGAAAACCTCCAATGATGGAGCACCCACAACTTCTGGAGGCAAGCTGTTCCACTGGTTAATTGTCCTCACTGTTAGGAAGTTTCTCCTCAATTCCAGGTTGCTTCTCTCCTAGATTAGTTTCCATCCATTACTTCCTGTCCACAGACGTTTCATTACCCAACTAGGTAACGTCATCCATGCCTCAGTGAGGTTACCTAGTTTGATAATGAAATGTCTGCAAGAACAAAACTGGAAAACAGGTTACTGCTGCTGAGGCTAAGAATGTGGCACAGCAGAGAGGATCCTAGAGTGAAATGTTTTCGTGGCACTGAACGTGGGAACGCTAAGAGCCATGATACTATGCCAGAGGAGCTCCTAGGGATATCGGTGACTTATAAGACAAGAGTCATAAGTTCTGGATCATGTGTGACTTTCTTTCTTGCGGCCAACTAGAATTGCCTAACCCTCTGATTGTCCACATATTTGAGGAGGAGGAGGAGGAGGAGGAGGAGGAGGAGGAGGAGGAGGAGGAGGAGGAGGAGAAGAAGAAGAAGAAGAAGAAGAAGAAGAAGAAGAAGAAGAAGAAGAAGAAGAAGAAGAAGAAGAAGAAGAAGAAGAAGAAGAAGAAGAAGAAGAAGAATAAGAAGAAGAAGAAGAAGAAGAAGAAGA